GTTTGCGCAAACCATATGCACTTGAGCGATCATTTCATCTTCCGGAATTTCTTCTTCAGTTTCATTGGTATGAGCTCTAGATAACGTATCTGCCTGAATCATTTGTTTACCAGCTTTATAAATTAAATCAATATCATATTTTTGCAATCTTAATATCATTCTCTGAAGACGCGGAGGAGTGTTTGCTAACAACTTCTTCATAATATTTTTCAACGGTTTATGATCACTGTTAACAGTTACTTTTTTTCCATATATATATTGGTGAAATCGCTCACACCCAAAAAGTACTGCGAGAAGTTCTTTTTCAATGATTGCATAATTTAATTGAGCTGGTGTCATTGACCTTGATGCAAATGCGATTGATTTTTCATTTTGAATAAGTACTGCTCCAACACCAGTTTTGGATGCGTCTACTTGTATCGTTACAGATTTTTGAATATCATAAAATGCAAGACATTGTTCCGAACATAGCAGTTTTTTAATTTTTCTGAAGGATCGATCTTGTGCTTCGCCCCATTGCAAGTGTGTTTCTTTTTTAATTAGATTTCGAAATAATTCCGTTGTTTCTGATAAGTTAGGTAGGAATTTACCAACATAGTTTACCATACCTAGAAATCTTTGAACTCCTTTTTTATTTTCAGGTTTTTGCATTTCATTGATGGCTTTAATTATTGATTCATCTGGTTGTACTCCGTTTATTGATAACTTGTGTCCTAAGTATATCAACTCTTGTGTTCGAAATCGACTTTTTTCAATATTTAGGGTTATTCCCATTTTTTTTAGCTCGATCTAGGCATTTTATTAGATTTTCATCGTGACATTTTTTGTGCCCCATATCAGAATATCATCAATATCAGTTTCCACAAAACAAAAATCATCAAAACATTGACTAATACTTTTTATGAAATACTTCCTGAGCCGAATGTATACCATAAGGTAAACGTGTGAATCTAAATCTTCTAAATGGTGTATTCATCGTGGTTAACATTGAGCTATTTTTATCCAGTGGAATCTTCCAATAACCTTTATTTGCCTCTAGTTTTGTGAAATTATTTGCACCACAAAGTCTAGTTGATATTTCTTCAAAAGTTATTGATAATGTTCTCTTTTTATAGCTTTATTTAAGTCTCTTGGATCCAGACAGAGTCTTAGTTGTCCATTTGGTTTTTCCACAACCACTAGCGAATTTACGCATCCTGTTGGTTCATCTCCTTGTTATTACTCCTGTTTTTTCCATTTCATCCAATTCTGTTTTTATTTTTTATCTCAAGGTAACAGGAATTTTTCTTGGTGGATGAATAACAGGATTTGAGCCATTCTTCAACACGATGTGATGTTCAGGTCCAATCACGCCTAATCTGTTAAATAATTTCGGATATATTTTTAGAATTTCTTATTTTAATTCTTTTCCTTGTTTTCCTTCAATCCGTTTTACTTTGTTTAGAGTAGATGTTCCTTTTTGCTACGACTTTGTTCGTGTCTGCAGTTTTTACTTCATTTAGTAGTTTGATAGCTTTTAAGTCTTGTGAAGTTTGTAAGCTAAGAAAGAGTTTGTTTGTTGTTACAACTATATAAAATTTAACCAATTTTTTATGACTTTTGTAGTAACACATCATATTTGATGTTCCAAGCACTGGAGTATGATTTCCTCCATAACCACGTAGTTTAACATTAGTATAAGTTAGAACATCACGTGATGTTAGTTGGTCGTAGACTCTTTATGGCATAACATCAACTTCAGCTCCAGTGTCAATTTTTCCACGTACCAATTTATTATTAATTTAGAGATTATCAAAGCTTCATTTTTACCATTTTTTTCACCAAATGATACAGATTCCACATGGTATTCTACAGCGCAATTTTCGTGTATGTTTTTCGAGTTGCAGTAAGTTGCCCAATGATTTATTTTATTACATTTACGGCACTTTTGACCGAATGCAGGACAGTTTCTTGGTTCATGTTTTCTGTTGCATTTCTTGCACTGTCTTTGTTGTTGTTTTTTATTTGAGCCATTATTGATTTGTTTCCAGTTTTGTTTGTTTGGTTCTACCCGGTCTTTGCCTTTTGACTCATTTTCGTTATTCGAGAACTTTCTCCATTTTGGTATTTGTCCTATTGACGCATTTGTTTGTCTTGGTTTTATGAATTTCTTTACCACGTCAATATCTTTTTCGTATATAATTTGTTTCATTTCTGCATTTGCAACTTCAGCTCTGCATAAATCCGCTCCTTTTCTAAGGAGATTGTTTTGGACTTTGTTTGATTTGATTCCGTCAATTAATTTGTATAATATCAGACCATCTTGAATGTTTTCAAACTCGCATGTTTGAGCCAGATTTATTAAATCAGTTACAAAGAAATCAAATGATTCATTGACGTCTTGTTTTCGTAAGAAAAACTTTCTCCGTTCCAAAACCAGATTTCTTTTCGGTAAACAATATTTTTCGAATCTTTCAAAAAGTTCTTTTACCGTGATGTCATTGATTTCACCGTCGTCATTTTCTGTTTTGTTCCAAGTCCACGTATTGAACACATTTCTCTACCTTTTTCACCGATCACAAATAAGAATGTCGCGTACTTTTCTTCCTCAGATTTATTTGTCATTGCTGTTTTTAGATACAACTGCATAGTTTGTTTCCATTTTTTCCATGTTACAGCTATATTGGATTCATTGAAGTCCATTTCGTTTGGCTTTGGCAAAAAGTGTTCCATTTTCTTTTTCTTTTTAAAATAAGTACTTTTCGAAAGTCTCTTTTTAAAATGTCTTCAGTTCACTTCTGGTACCATGTATTGTTTTGTTTTTATATTTATTATAAAGAGAATTCGACTATGATTTTTATTTAATATTTATTTCAATATTTTTAAATTAAATTATCACAACTAGTTTAAATATAAAACTCTGTATAGTTTCGCGTCGAAACTTCAACTGTAATTTAACTCCGCGTACTGGTTTTTAAGTGAGAATTCCTCGTGCGGAATTCTATCAAGGGAATACTTTCGTTATAAGTTTTTGTGGAATTCGCAAAAGGGAATTGATTGTTTTGCAATCGCTAATTGCTATTCTGAATTGTTTTGCGTAACAATCATTACACAAAAGATCTAATTGTGTTAAGATGTTTAGAGATAACAACAGCAATAGCTGATGAAATATTTCCAGATCCCTTACCAGGAATCCACAAGTGAATAAGTTTTTTGAACATACCAAAAGATACAAGATGCATGTAGTCTAAAACAAATTGACTAACAAGCCAATACCTGTGTCATGCAATGGAGATTTTCCATTATGATGACCATGGCAAATAAATGCATTAAATTGCTCATCAGTTTTTAAAATAGAAGAAAATTCAGGAAATATTATTCGATTGTTAAAGTACTCCCCTTTCTATGTACACCATAATATCCAGAATGCCCTTTCGTACACTTCAAAATAATTTTGCAGGTGTACTACAAATAAAAGCATTATTAATTAAAAGTAATATTAAATTTTTTGTCATTAAAGCATACAACAATTCTTGCTACTGTCAACATATATGTATATGTATACACATATGTATATGTATGTATATGTATGTATATATGTATATATACATACATATACAACATATATGTATATGTATGTATATACTGTCATACATATATGATATGTATATAATCAACAAAAGCTTTTAAATAATTATTTACTCAATTAGGCTTGGAATTTCCTGAGTAGATGCCTATTGTAAAGACTTAAGATGAGATAGTTCTTTTATCATACCAAGAATAGGCTAAATACATAAACTTGAACATCTTGATAAAGGTACGCCATCAATATTTAGATGAAGCGATAATGTATCTGATATATTATCATTCAAGGGTATCAATGAAGTTTTCAAAAGTAAGCACATAGAGTTAGATATTCCAAAATGATAATATTGACCACCTCCGCAAGTCACTATATCAGTTACCTTTGGAGTAGATAGTAAAGTTCTACCATCTGATGGTAAGTCTTAAATAAAAGGTTTAAGAATAACCAGTAAAGCAGTTGTTGCAGCAAGTGAAATGTTATACTGAGTTGCCCATATAGCTAAACTCTCACGAGCGGAAATTGGCTATTTTTCAATGTTTTCAAATTATTGAGAATCAGTACCAAAATGATTTGGGTCAGGGTTTGGTTGGGGCAGGAAATCAATAAGAAATGCGTTTTAAATTAAAACGTCGATAGAAATCAGGCTTTTTTAAAGTTGTTATTAAAAAAGAATATTATCATAACTGAGTATGACAAAGATGGTGGAATATTAGCGTTTTTAATGTGGATTTTTATACTTTAACATTAAATTATAGTACTTTCCTCAAGTTTTCAGACCTATGTTTTATATGATTTAGAATCAGTATAATTTACTCTATATAAATGGGGGGAGAGAAAGTTGAGTAGCACCAAACTCTAAGATGTTCATCTACCCTTTGACTTCGCTCACTATATACTTTATTGCTCATGACGCCTTTGACTTCGCTCACTATATACTTTATTGCTCATGACGCCTTTGACTTCGCTCACTATATACTTTATTGCTCATTTTTTATATATATTAAGCAAAAAACTTGATGAAATTATTAAGATATTCACAGTGCTTCAATTTTTAACTTAAAGCGCAATAAAAAATAATTTAAACCAATAGCCATTCAGAATAAAGTCAAGGGTTCGCAATAAAAAACCAAGGTGGGTCCAATATGGGCAACCCATAAGTTATAAAAATCGTATTATTTGATAAGCAGCCCATATAGGTCCTATGTCGAATCTTTAACGCAATCCCATGACCTTATCGGCCCATGTAAACCTTGTTGAACAGACATGGAGCCCATGTAAGAGTGTTGGCTAGGGAGGGGATCACAGAAAACGCCGTTCCGGTTAAGCCGACAAATTACAAAATCGATCCGCCTGTCTTTATTCTTATTAACAACTGTTCCAATGTCGCATTAATTTTTTTTTTTTAATAACTTGTAATACATAAATAATTAGAAAGTTTGGTTATAAAATAATACTTTCAATTTTTCTAAAAATTTACAAAATAAAGAAAGCGAGAGTGAAAGTGTCATATATTCACTGTGGCATACAGCCCATATATATACATTATATATTCACTCACGCAACATACACTATATATTCTCTCTTATACGATCTATGGAAATTAATTTATAACATTTATAAGTCATTAAAAGTTTCGCGTTTAATAACTTAAAAATGTACATTAAACATTTATCATCACAAATAAACTTTTTCCATGAACAAAACTTATCACAAATACTTATATCACAAAAAGCATTATAACATGGAATGTTTTTTTTTTGAGGCAACTTAGGAACTTGGTTTTATAGTGAAGGTAGAATCTCTGTTTTTTTATAGCGAAGAAAGCACCATTTTGTTTGATGATGAAGGAAGGTCTAACTTATTTGATAATGAAAGTTTCTTTATTTTTTCAGAAGGTGACGAAGGAGTCTCTATTTCATCAGATGACGAAGAAATCTCTATTTGATTTTCGATAACTGTATCCAAGGAAGAAGAATGAAGTTTATTATAGGCAAGCGTTGACGGTAAAGCTAAAAAGTGAAATATGAATATACCATATATAAAAATTAAACAAGAAAACTACTCAACAATAAATTGATAAAAAAATTTATAAAAAACGCAAATCAAAAAAAAATGCAACACAAAGAAACATTTATTAGATAAAACAAATTTAAAAATTTATTTGTTAAGACAGCTATAGACAAGCAGTTTTTTGATTAAGTCTTTATCATACTAATAACCACAATACCACGCTTAAACTGATTAACACATAACTAGTACCATACTGGTGCATAATAATATACAATTTTAATTAATTTTACAGGTTTATCTTTTGGTTTGAAATCATTTGTTTTTACTTATAATTAACATGTGTTATTATCAGTAATAAAAATCAAATTGGTACGAAGTGTTTTGTTAAAATATTTATATTATTAAAAATATATATGTAAATTGCATATAACATTTTTAAAGGCAAATTTAAGAATAAAACGAGGGTGGGGTGTGAATCCTTAAAAATTTCCCACTGTCATCTTTAAGTAATAGTAAAAAAAATATTCCTAAAACTAAAAAAGTTTTTGAGCATCGCGGTGAACGGACGCGTTTTTCTTCGGAGTAATAAAAAATAAATTTTTTTTGTTGAGAATCTATATCAAGCATAAATCAAAAGTTAGGTAATTTTCAAACGAGTTTTCAAGATGTTCGTCGCGAACTAGACGAAATAAAATCAGGATTGAATTTTGTTGGTAGTGTATGCAAAGACAAAGTTAAAGCAGTCGGGTAAAAAATAAATAAAGTTTGTGAAGATTTAACTAATGTCAAAAAAATGCAGGGGAAAATATCCTCGGACAATACCGAACTAAAATTAAAGAGCGTAGATAATGAAAATCGAAACAGGCGAAATAATCTAAGAATCGATGGGGTTATTGAAACGAGCGAGGAAAAGGATTGGGATATAACTAAAGAAAAAATAAAGAAGCTTTTTAACGTACAACTTGGATTTAAAGTTATATTACCAATAGAAAACAGTATGTGTGTAATATACAATCTGGAGTATTAAATGTTTTATGTGGAGTCCCCCAAGGATCTCTACTTGGTCCACTCCTGTTTTTAATTTATATAAATGATTTTTGCAATGGATTTTTAAAACTGAATTCAATCATGTTTGCTGATGATACAAATCTATTTCTTACTAACAGTGATATCAAGAAATTATATGCAGATATGAATATTGAACTAAATAAATAATTGGTTTAGGGCTAACCAGTGCCGGATGAAGGGGGGCTAGGGGGATATAGCCCCGGACCCCGCAAATTTAAGGGCCCCCAAAAATTTTAGAGGAACTTTTTTTTTTTAAGTCATTTTTATGCTCTGGCCCATAAAAAGGCCTCCAAAAACAAAAATAGCCCCGGGCCCCAAGAAGTCTTAATCCGCCACTGGGGCTAACAACCTCTCACTTAACACAGAAAAAACAAACTATATATTATTCCACAAAAAATGCAAGATCAAAACCTTCCTGTTAAGTTGCCTGACCTTATATTAAATGACAATTTAATCAAAAAACAAGCCAGTATTAGATTCTTAGGAATTCTTGTTGATGAGAAGTTATCCTGGCTTTCTCGAATAAGATATATTCAATCTAAAATCACTAATATAATTGATATGATGTTTCGAGTTCGCTCATATACCAATAAACAAAGCCTTAAATTAATTTACTTTGGACTAATTCATTGCTTCATCAGCTATGCAAACACATCATGGGCAAGAACGCAACCATCAAAACTTAAAAAAATTTATAGTCTACAAAAACATGCGTGCAGAATCATTTACTATAAAAATAAGTGTGAACATGCTAAACCTATAATGAAAGATATGAAAATGATGGATGTTTTTGAAATAAATATCTATCAACTTTAATTTTTATGTATCAATTCAATAATAATATCTCTCCTGCAAACTTTAATAACAAGTTTGAAATAAACATAAATGAAAACTATTATCTAAGAGAAAATATAAGTAACATATAAACTGCCTCAAAACTTTAATAAATATACTGAATATAGCATTGCACATCGAGGACCTAATATATGGAATAGTTATCAAAAAGGATTTAAATGTTTGGCAAAGTCATTAAGTTCATTTAAGTTTCTAATAAAAAAAGGAATTTTTAAAATTTGAGAATCTTTTGTGCTTAAAGGAATCACCAAATAATTTTATTTATTTTCTAATTTTTTTTAATATTTTATCTTTATTTGATTTACTGATCAGCGCAGCAGTTTTATGCCCATTAGGGTTTTTAATTTAATATTAATTAATTTAATATAGTGTATATAAGGGCTCTATGAAAAGATTGCGATGACATATTGTCATCTTCATTTTCTTTGAGCCCATTTAAATCTGCCGATTTAATTATGTCAAATGCCGAACAGCCAACTATATTCCTGAAAAAACCAATTAAGTTGAAAATCACTTTGTTCTTGGGTTAAGGGTTGTCACACCCCATTATATCGTCCCGGGTGAAAATTTTAAAAGAAAATGTACAAAACTTTTCGTTTGATGCTTTAATTATAAAAATTATGCATAAAAATTCATATATAAAAATTTGAAAGAAATAGTTACTTTTTTTAACCACAACCAAGATTACTATGCAAGCTACAATAATAAATGCAACAACACCAAATGTAATTCCAAGTAATACCCCATCATTATCTAAATAAATATTTTTACTAAATAATGTTACTAAATTTGTTAAAACTATTATAAGCATAATTTAAAGGCATTAAAATTGTAATATGTATGTTGTCAAAATAAGTTCTTACTTTATTTAATAAGGTTAATTAATGTGGGACATAATGAAACAGAGTAGTAAATGAAACATTTACTACTCTGTTTCATTATGTCCCACATTTAATAAGATAGAAACAGTGAAATATATTACTTCATGATTTTTTAGTAGTCCAATTGTGTTCAAAAATCGTTTAGTGTGAAAAAATGTTGTATACAAGCGACTGGGCTCACAAACTAACAACTAACTAAACAAATTAGCAACTAGCTAGACAAGTTAGCAATATACTAATCACTAGCTTGTCTCATAACTTACTTACTATAAAAAAAAAACACTTATTTCATTTTGTAACATCTAACAATACCATACCTTTTACTACTATTTCTTGACTTTTTACTACTTATTTTCTGACTACTTATTTATCATTTCATTTTATTAAAAAAAAACAAAAACAAATGATAACAATGTATTTATTGCTATTGGTATTTATTTAGCCTCACGCAACAATAAATACCAACATGACACCACAAATGGGATTAACGTAACACGCCAGCTGGATTTTATATTTATGTTTTAGTAACCAAATACTTTTCTATTTTGTTTATGCGGTTTTAACTTTTTAAAAAAATAACAATAATTACCAAAAAGGTAGATTGCTACATGTTGTAGTAATATTGTTAGTTACAAAGTTACAACAACAAGCAACAAAAGTTAAAGATTTGTTTTTAAGCTGAAGTTAGTTTAGTTATGACAATGTATGGTACACCGCTATCATAACTTGTATGATAGCGGTGTACCATACAAATACCTCTCAAACTCACCAATTTGGTCATGAATGTAATTCTCAAAGAATCGAGAAGGAGTATAATCGTTTTGTGCAAAAATGATATATATATATATATATATATATATATATATATATATATATATATATATATATATATATATATATATATATATATATATATATATATATATATATATATATATATATATATATATATATATATATATATATATATATATATATATATATATATATATATATATATATATATATATATACAGTACTCTTATTAATTTTTCCACAAAAGATAAACACTGCACTTTTTAATCATTTTTAAGTTTCAAAATTTTATTTATATAAATAACTCATTAAAATATATTCAGTTTATATTTTTTTACATAAAATATTTTTTTACATAAAATATTTTTTTACATAAAATAATCAACAATGTCAATATTATCATACGCCTCGGAATTGACTCAACTAGAGCTTGTATGGTAGGCGGTGCAATTTCATACCAGGTCTTCTGTAGATTAGCTTAAAGTTTATCTTTGGAACCAGACTATATTCCCTGTCTCTTGCAAAATATTTCCTATTTGGAAATTTTCTTTCTAGCTTTGTGGGGCCAATCAAGAAATAACACGTCTAACTCTTCAAGGCATGCTGTCACTAACTTTGCTTTGTGGGATAGGGCGTTGATATATAAAATCAGGATTTACACCTAAAAGCTTTTTGGCAGATGGAATTTTATCTTTCTTTAGTATTCTAATGAACTGGTATTGATCCATGGAGTTTACACACCTGTAGATATGTCCAATACCATGCCAGAACATACAACCTTGCATCATCACTGAACGGGAACCATGCTTGATTGTTGATATTATGCTAAAATCCATTTATCTTCTGCGATGTTTAGCATCCAGACAAGAATTTTTTGTTGTAATGCAACCTTGTAAACCAGCTTTTAGCAGCCGTTTTCTTATTGCTGTTGCTGATAGTTTGACGCCATGATCTTTTTCTATAGTCACTATGATGTCTGAATGACGTTAAGTGCCAATTTCCCAGGGAAAAACGAGCCAGGATCTTATTTTTCCGTTTCGTATTTTTTTTTGGACGGCCTCGAAGTGGTTGATATTCTACTGTAATTGTCACCTAGTTTTTTTTTTTTTCATTTCCAATCGTTGTTAGATTAATTCGCATAACTTGTGCTATTTTCCTGTACAACTGACCCTCCTCTGACTCTTTTTTACCTTTTAAAGATAAAAAAGAGTCTACTTTTTATAAGGTATAGTCTACTTCTTATAAGGTATAGTCTAGTTCTTATAAGGTATAGTCTACTTCTTCTTAGGTATAGTCTACTTCTTATAAGGTATAGTCTACATTTTATCTTATAAGATTTAGAGAATAATCTTTAAATTTCCCCCTAAAATTTACTATTTCAATAATTTTCAATTTTTCAAACTATGAAAATGAAAAATGTTCACAGTGTTTAAAAGTTAGTATATTACTTTACTTAATTTAAAATGCATAGCTAGTAAAATTCAAATTATACTGACCTCATCTTATTTAACTTTGTCAACATGAAGGCTGTTTTTCACAAAAAACTCACAAAAATTTAGAAAATTTCACATATATACGCATAGTTTAAATCATAATCAATTTAAAATTGGCGCCAAGTGCATAAAAAATTAATAATAACAAATTATTTTTTACACGGTGCTACCCAGTTCAACATTGCAGCGAAATGAAAAAAAACAAACAAACATGCTGTATGTACTTCCTTTAATATCTTATAGATTCAGAGAATGATTGGCGCCTTTAAGGACCCATTGATATTAAAATAAAATATCAGGTAACATATTGTATTTTTAAAGAAGACTATTGTAAAATAAAGTTGACAATCGAGTCAAAAGACGCATATTGCGGAATAAAGAAGACAAGCGAGTAGAATAAAAAATAAAACCGAGGCAATTTGTTTCAACAATAAAATAAATTGAGTTAATCATAAATTACTTTTTAAAGCGTATTAACATACTTGTTGTTTTAGGAGGTAAAATGCCTGCAGCAGGTGGCATATTAAGAAGGACAGATTCTCCAGTTATCCCATTAATTTCAGCATAAATTTTAACAAGCGTGGCGTTAAATAAATTTGTTACAAAAAGTTCAGTATTGCTGATTCCATCAAATGTTTGGACGCTATCGTATGTCTTGTTAATGAACTCAATGTTGTACATTAACTTACATTTTCCATAAACAACATTATTCCATTGCATAAAAACTGATTTATCCATATATTGTTTCAGGAATACAACTGTTACCTTTGGTGGTACAACTGTGAAAAAATAGAATTATAAAAATAAAAAAATAAAAAAATAGAAATATAATTAAAATTAAAAATTTTCAAACTAAATTAAAAGTATTTAATTAAATATTTTTGTTTAATGCTATGATTAATATTTAATTATTAATGATTATTTTAAAGTATAGCGAAAATCTTAGTGATTTCTGTGGTAAACATAATTTTGTTATATTTGGAAGAATGGCATTTATATGAAAATTAATTCCCTTAATGTTTGACATGATTTGAGTTTTTAAAGACCTTGCTATACGACTTTAGATAGACTTTATTAAAAATCTTACAAAATACGACTTTTTAAAAAAGTCTTCATAAAGTTGAATATAGTAAGACCTTTAAAAAATTTGTATATAGCATGATCATGGCTTAAGTCTTGTAACATAAGCTATTGGGCTAAGAAATCATGCTATAAGACCTGGGCAATTTACCAAGAAATATTTCTAGAAGATGGTTTACAAAGCTAAAACAAAGCACATTTGTCAAATAGAGATATGATGCCCTCAAAAAAACTTAAAAACTTATTCCTTATTACTGCTTTGGCTTTATAGTTTTGGAGCTTCAAATATATATATAAAAAACATACTCCAAATTCAATAATGTATTTTATTATAGTCAAAATTCTAATTTTTTTTTCATCTATAAAAGTTAAAAGTTCCTGATCTTCATATATATTTATTTGAAATAGAAAATTTTAAGTCTAAACGCATTTTATTATACATTTTACTTCTTTTAATGCATACATATATATATATATATATATATATATATATATATATATATATATATATATATATATATATATATATATATATATATATATATATATAGGAAAAAAAGTCTAGGATCTTAGTTAAAAATCCAACATAACAGCTTGTATATATATATATATATATACATATATATATATATATATATATATATATATATATATATATATATATATATATATATATATATATATATATATATATATATATATATATATATATATATATATATATATATATATATATATATATATATATATATATATATATATATATATATATATATATATATATATATATATATATAGGAAAAAAAGTCTAGGATCTTAGTTAAAAATCCAACATAACAGCTTGTATATATATATATATATACATATATATATATATATACATATATATATATATATATATATATATATATATATATATATATATATATATATATATATATATATATATATATATATATATATATATATATATACACAATATATATATATATATATATATATATATATATATATATATATATATATATATATATATATATACAAGCTGTTATGTTGGATTTTTAACTAAGATCCTAGACTTTTTTTCCTTATTTTCTGCAAAGTCTTTTCCCATATTTTTAAGATGAGATTCAAAAAAATAACTCAAAGCAACAACCATGTCTGTAAGGCTATTTTGTAAGTATTGAGTTAATTCAAAACTTGTGTTAACCATAATCAAAAATATTAAAAGAACCCAAAAAATCAAATTTCTAAAACTAATGTTTTCATCTAACGTTAACGTCAAACTTCTATGTGGTTTCTCTAGTTCCAAATAATAATTTCAATTTTACATTGGAAGTTACAGCATCAACTATAACTAGATTTAAATTGCGGGCACATTAGTGTGTAAACAAAAGGATGCAATGTAATGTCATTTACTCTTTTCTTCAGGCCAGAATCTTTACCCACTGATTACCAGATGGCGTATTTCAGAATGGTCGTCACATTCGTCTGACTTGATTCCCCCATACTTCTACTTTGGAGGTATGTTAAAGGACGAATTTAATGAGAGTAATCCTCAGACTGTTGCTGAATTGAAATTGGCTATTACAAAATTACGCAGAACATTTCTGCAATAAAAAAAGAAGAATTTCACAAAGGGATTGATAACTTTGCTCGCCGACTTCAAGAACGTCTGAAACGCAATGGTAGTCATTTGGAATATATGTTTAAATAAAATTAAAAAGGGCCAAAACTTTCAATATTCATTTTTTATAATTTGAGCTTCCAAAAAATGTTAAAATTTTCAACTTATTTTGTTTCAATAATAAATCGTAATCAAATTAATGGGTTTTCTTTGTATAAGGTTATTTATTACCGTAACACCTTTTTTATATTAGACCTTTCACGCATTGTCATATTTTGCAAAAAGTTACATTTTTTTCCACAAATTCTTTTAATTTTTTTAATCTGTCTTCTTTCTGAGGTCGCCAACTTTGTCAAAACAATTTTTGTCAAACATTGCGTTAGGAGAACAAGATAACCAGTGACAAATGTATTTCTCTTTTCGTGAAACTATTAACAGTTTTTTTTGTACCATGCTGGGCTAATTTATCTTTTGTAAAAACGTTAAAAATACCACTATTTCTTGGATAATACGGTCTAAATTTTAGCCTTTAATAACTGGAGGTATTATACTTTTTTACAAAATAAGTGAGAGTCTTTTAGGTAGCTTACTTGCAAACTAGTGATGTATTTTACTAAAGTAGAAGTATATGTGACTGTGTTATCATCTGTTATGTTATATCATATGTTATCATATATTAGGTTATAGGTGTTTTCTACATCAACAGTATTGATATTTTTAATACGAATACTTGCATTGTTGTATTAATTTAAATCAACCATTCTTTTGGGTTATCATTATGGTTATCCTCGTCAGTAAATGTTGAAGAAAAAATAAGAGGAGAATTGCAAGCTACCCAAACTCAGAAGAAGTTTGGTTAGCCTAAAATAATCAAGAAGGACCATTTACAGATACTACTTACTGTTGCTAAGATATGTCGATATATGCAACAATGTTGCGTATATATTATAAGTAAAAAAAAATAGCAAAATGCAGCAATGCAGCATATTGGCATTTTTTAGATGTTAAAGCTGTGAGTTTAGACAACAAATTCACAGCTTTAAAGCTTCCTTTGAATTTGTTGTGTATTTTAACAAGACAATTGTCTTTTGAAATTTTTTTTACATTACTCAGCTTAGTTAAGAAGAGATCCGAAGAAAAATATAGCGTTTAGTCCCTTTTCGCTTTTAAAAAATGCCGTTTTATTTTGTGTGCGTTTTGATTGGTTTTTTTTTTTTTTAAAATCACGAAGCTCCTCAATGCAACCCTGGAAGTATAAAACAGATGGAAGTTCATCGAGTCGCAAACTTCAAAGTAATTTCAAGTCGTCTTGGGAACATGCTTGTAACCGACAATAATAAAAAAAAAATTTCACAGGACAAAATAAAAACAAGTTTCACTGAACAAAAAACAACAAAATTCACTGAAATAATTTTTTCCCTGGAATAATTCATTCATGAATTATTCCAGGGGAAAATATAATAAAAAATGAATTATTCTAGGGATATGCTGCAAAGTTTTAACCATTAGTAATTACAATTATTCAGCAAAAGGTTTATTAAAACCCGGTAATTAAATAGAACCTCTTGATTTTAAAGCATATGTTAGTATAAGCTTCTTTCCTTGCTTCGATTTGATTAAAAAGACAACTAAAACAAATTTTTAAAAATCAAAAAAATTGTTTTCTAAATAACTTAAGTTTAAAGTTTCATTAGCTGTATATTAGTATATTCCGTTCATTCTTGTAATACTCCATTAATTTACTATGAAGTTTATAAAAAAGTTGTTGTTTGCCGTTTCGTTGCACCATTTTTAATGTTTTTCTTGAATATTATTGGCGAACCTTCAAAATCGTTCGATATTTTTAAATTATTGTAAACGTACCTATTTGCGTCAACGTATAAAGATTAGGTGTTTAAGTACAGTCTTGATGTCGTTTTTTTGTTTACGAAACAAAAGGTTACAAGCATACTACCGAAGAATTTCCCGAAAAATGCGGTTGAACTTCCAGCTGTTTTATACTTACATGATGCAACTAAGGCATAGAACAAACAAACTCGTAAAAAAAAAAAGCCGATAGTTTTAAACAAATCCGATTGGTTGTTAGTGTGAAACATACTCATTTAGGTGTGGTATTGAAAATAATAACTTAATAAGGTTTTTCGTGGATAATTTTCCCAAATAATGTCTAATTTTAAATGTCAATTTACATTTATTGAAAACAAATACCAATACGTGCTTTTATAAAAAAATTAAATCTATAGACTTAGCTATAGCCAAGCCCCAAGGTACTTTATGTTAAAAATTACATCTTTTCTAAATAAAACTACGCTTGATGATTTGTTATAGTCGCATAGTGTCGCCGAGAGGAGGAAGGGGGTTGCAAGGGATAGTTTGTCCCGGACGGCAGATATCCAAGGGGTGCCAAATGAAATGTAAGGACTTAAAAAAAAAAAAAAGAGGCCTTCATATATAATATAGGGAAAATTTGATAAATAAAGGCGCCAATCAGGATTGCTGACCCAGGCGATGTGACAGCTCTCAGCAGCTTTGTAGCCACATTACTTTTACCAGACTATAATAGTAGTTAAAAAAATCTTTCCATACATACCAAATATGTCATACTTTTTGATGAAAAAACTTACGTATATTGTTATTGAAAAAACTTATATTATTGTTCGGAAAAACGTGTACCATGCCTTAGTTGCATTAAGTCGTTGTTTTATTTTGTTTACAAATATTCGGCGATTTTATTATCTACGAGTTTGAAGTTTCAGCTTAATATTATGGGGCAGAAGTTATATAAATACTGAAACGTTGTTGTTTAGTAATTTATTCAAACGACTATAAAAAGATTATGGTAGTATATTGCTGTGTGTGAAAACTAATGTGAAAACTTCGATTTCAACGTTTTAACTGTTTACTAAAAGATAAAATAAGAGATTTTTAGTCTTTTATTTAATATTTTAATGCTGTAAACAAGAAGTCATTTTACTTTCGAATAAAAGAGACATTTTTGAAATGTAAATAATTAACACATTTGTTTCAGCTGTTTTTAAGAGGCTGCCCTTTCGCGTTTTATGTATTTTAGTAGTAGTTTTGTTTTGCCTGATGCATTGGTTAAAAAAAGATTTATAAAAAGAAATAGTAAATTATATTAGAAAAGCTTAAATTCTACTTTTTAAAAATATAAAACAGTAATAGTCAAAAATAGGCAGAAAAAACAAAAAATTGAAGTTTTAAAATGTAAATTTTTGTTTTTATGAAATACAAATCGTTCGGATCTCTCTTCAGCTATTTTTGCTTTCAAATGCTGTTTTATTTGCAATCATGAAATTTTTGTTGAAAAGTTTTTGTTGTAAAATTAAGTGATTTGGCATAAAACTAATCTACATTAATTTTTATACAAATATAAATTTGAAAATTGATTTGTCACATAAATTGCACAGAGTTGTTAACCTTTATGTGCGTTGAGCGTGCTTAAATTTGTTAATAATAAGTGATATTGATAAACATTATTTACAATTAAACTATTTTAATTATTGATTAAAAGCAAATTTAAAAAACTCTTACACTATCCAGGGTTATCTTTTTATTTAGAGTTTAGACAAAGAAAACTTAACCTAACATAAGGCTAGCATAACTTAACATTAGCAAATTTGCATAAAAAACGCTTACATTGAATTAACGCAGCTTGTTTAACTTCTTTTTTAACTCCTGAAACAGTAAGGAGAAACATTTTTCCACAATCTTTATCGGGAGTAAAAGGTCCCAAACTGTAAACATAGTTATATGTGTTGTTCGGTAAATCAGTGAAACTTTTAGCAATGATAGTTTCTTGTTCAAATTTCAAAATGATTTTAGGTTTTGGTCGACTAAATACTGTTGCAATGAATGTCGTTGTGCAATTTTCACATCCAAGAAACTTATTTGGAAAACTTAAAATTACAGGGTCAGCTATAATCAAATAAACATAAAAATTATTTAATTTAATTGTGTATAAAAAAAATCGTTTGCATTGAAACAAACATTTAACAGTCATTCAACATAACTAAATATATCATAAATTAAACATCACTCAAACTAAAAGTTTTAAAATGGATTAGTAAGTTTAATGGAAGTAATATCTTAATAATATTTTAATTTCCCGTCTAAAACATCTTTTTATAAAACGTTAAAATATAATTTTTACATTTTTCAGTTTAAATGCTGAAAATGCTAGTTCTTAGTAATTAGAAAATGCTAAATTCAGAAATCTGTAAATTTACAACTTGCTCTTTTTTATGTTGGGTAACCTGTGGCAAAGCGAGACACCACACAATGGGCCAGTGGTGGACGAAACCTCAAAAATGAAAGTTTATTATTTCAAAAACCATATAATAAAACATAGTCGTATACTCTATTGTTTTATTTAAAATTTTTTTTTGAGTATAATAGTATCTTTCAAAAACACAAAAATCAATTTCGGTTCCGTCTATAATAAATTGCTACTCCTGCCCTTTTGGCTGGGGTGGCAAGGGTAGTATGAATGTGCCCTTTCTAGGAAATAGGTAAGGTAAATTTTGTGCATTTCATTATCAAACATTTCATTATCAATATTTTATTATCAATATCTACCAACTGGAACTGGTAATAGGTGGGATAGGTGGTAATAGATTAATTTTTTTTCAATTTAAAGCAGTTTAAAGTTGATTTGACATACGTCACAACTTATTGTTATTATGCTTTAACTTTTCTTATAATTTCCAAATGTTTTTAGTAAATATTTTGAAAGAAAGCAATAGTTTTTTGAGTTTCTATTTTATTTAGGCAAAAAAGAGAAAAAAAAAGGAACACATTGTAAAGACAATATTCAGTTATAAATCAAATAATACAGTTATAATACAAATATAGGTTTTTCACTTAGTATTTTATTTTTGAAGATTTTTTTTTGATTGGTGATTATTTTAGACGATTATTTGCGCACAAGTATATATATCTTAGTACTTTATTTCTTAATCGTAATCTCAACTTAAATGTGACGATTTTAACCACTAAACAATCATGCCAAAGGCCGAAAAACTTCAAAAGAAAAAAAACTAAGGAATTATCAAAAGCAGCAACAACACCTTATGAGATCAAAATTACCACTTGAAAAAAATAACAACTGAACTGGCGGAGCCAGAGAACCCTCATGGTGAACTACAGAATCAGGATAAAGTTGACATTTTTGACACAAGCAGTCAAAAAATAGACAATAGAGAAAAACAGGAGTCTGATGCAAAAGATGGTGAAATTATGACGGAAAATTTTGTTAGAAAAGCGGAGGATTTTAGTGATATTGATAAAAAAAACAACAAAAAAACAGTGACAGAAATGGAAGAACTTGTATTAAGGTTTGGTTTAATGAGTTTAGTTGGTCATTTTATGATCGATCATTGAAAGCTGTCTTTTGTGAAACCTACACAAAATATGATTTATGTTCTGATGGAATGTTCAAGCATGGAGTCAGGAAAGGTTTTAGAACATGGAGAAAATCTGCAGCAGCACTAAAAGATCACGAGGACTCCACTGGCCATAAGGCTGCAAGTGCTCTAAAGATTGAGAAAGAAAATATAAAGTTTACAACAATTAATGCTCGAATTAACTAAATGTTCATGGAGAAGCAAGCATTTCGAAGAAAAGGCTTGCTAGCTCATTTCGAAACATTGAAAACATTGCTTCGACCGGGTGTAGCTATAATAGGTGAAATTGATGAAGAATCCAATATTTACCAGTTTAATTTGGATAAGAGCAAAAGTGACAAGGCATTATAAATGTAAATGTTGATATAGATTAAAAACCATTATGTTTTATCTCATGACATCTTGCAAGAGCGAGAACAACTTCTCATCTTAGAAGCACAAAGGCAGATTGTTGAACTGATCAAAGATAAACATTTCTATTCGGCACTTGCAGATGAATCCTTAGATGTTACTAAGAAGGAACAAATGTCGTTTAATATAAAAACTTGCAGTGACAATTATGAAGTGAATGAAGATTTTATCGGAGTATATGAATGTGTCAACGATCTTTCTTCAGATGCCTTGGTCACATATATTAAAGATATCCTTGCGTGTTGCCTTTTAAAGATATCCTTGCGTGTTGCCTTTTTCGAACAAATCCAAAAGGATATATTGCATGAGTCTGAATCAGATGAATACAGAATAATGCAACTGAAGTCTATGTCAATGACTCGATGGACAACACGAATAAACGCAGTAAAAGAGGTGTTGGAGAAGATTGCAGAACTCCGTACAATATTAAAGAGTCTTCAAAGTGACAAGACTATTGCTGCAGAAACAGGAGTACAAGTTAAAGGTTTTTTATCTCAGCTTTCTTCAGTAAAAACACTTTTTAAACTGCAAAGCACTGTTGAATTTTTTGCTATTCTAGAATCTTTTTCAAAGCAGTAACAAGAAATTAATTTGACAGGTGATGTCGCAGTATTCTGCATTCGAAATGCGTCTCAGAGATTTGGCGAAATAAAAAAGTACCTGGAATCAAGCAAGACAATGAGTCTGAAGCCGAAGTTACGCAGAGACAAAGGGTAATACCTAAAACATTATGCGATTCAGTAATTACTGAGAAGCTTACACTGGGCGGTGCAATGAATGTTCCTGTCAAATCAGAGCAAATACAAGGGAAATCTTATTTTGAAGCAATTGATGCTATTCAGAACAGTTTGAGTGAGAGATCTGAAGAGGATGGATTAACAGCTGTAAAAATATAAAAGAAATTTTGATTTCATCAGTGAATAAAAAAGATTCCCCACTGTTTTTATTTGGAATGCATTTTTTTTAATGATGTTGACATCTTGGAACTAAAAGTAGAGATAAAGAGGCTACCAACAACTATTAACCTGTACAATGCTATTGCATCAATCAAAATACAGAATGTTTCTAGAGTGGCAACAATTGCAGATATTTTATTTTATACTTGTTTTTTAGTTTGCCACCCCTGCACTTAGGTTCTTCCGGCGTGCCTGATCTGTACAAAATGTGTCAGATAAGTTAGGGAATCTATGAGAATCTTTATCGAGTGTTTGAGCTAGTAAATGCAACATGTCTATGAACTATTAGAACTGTATACATTGCCCCTAATTTCCCTTTTTGAGTTTATTTGACATTTTAAAGGTACGAGTTTCAAGTCGTATTACTTGTTTGAAATCGAAATGCTTATTTAAAACGTTATGTTTTTTATTCACCCAAATCAAAATACATGTTATTTTAACAATAATATTGTTTGAACAATACTTTTTTTGTTTTTTATTTTAGTTATATTATGAAAACTGTTGAAATTCACGCACTTATAAGACAAAAAAAACTAGTGCCTAATGATAAAGCATTTTTTTTCATCAGTATTAACTCTCCTAACTTCAGTAGATATTAAATTAAAAGATTGTGAGTTTAAAAACTTTATAAAAGTGTATCGTAAAAAGTGGATAGGTGCAAACAATGATATTAATCATTTTGAGAAAAGCAATGAATACAATACGCTAGATTCTACAATTAATGAAGTTGGAAGACCCTGTTGCTCTTTTGAAAACTCTTGCAACAGAAAAAAAAAAAAAAAGCTTCTAACAGTTTATCTAGCGCTGAATTACTTCATGCAACAAAATTACATCATGCAACAAAATTTAAACTTAGGAATGAGTTTAAGTACAAGACTGCTAAAAAAATCATTGAAATTTTAGATGGCAAATCCGTTGAAACTCCTAAAAAGAACTCACTGAATGAAGGGCTAGCATTGGTGGTATATGAAAATCAACATAATATATTTTGCAAAATAGCGCTGAAGAAAAAGGCTGACCATGTATCCTTTATATAATGATATACGATGTTCAAAAGCAAAATGCTATCCCAAAAACATTTATGTAGATGAGTATACAGTTAACCTACCGCTAAAAGACCTTCTGATCAACAGTCTTGAAAACCCATACGTCACAGTGTGACGTATGGGTTTCTGTGCTAATCACAATGTTTAAGGAACTAACTAAACTGACATTTAGATGCAAGGCTGGGTTTGATGCTGCTACAGGGCAAAGTGTTTACAAGCAGGTTAACCATAATGAAAACATTGAAAGAAATCTAAAGAATAAAGAGTGTTTATTTGTTACTTGCATAGTACCATTAAAACTCAGTAGATTTTATAATAATAAAAACGTAGTAGTGTGGAGAAACGAAAAGCCATCATTAACAGCATATTGTCGATCAGTTAAATTTTAGTTTCAAAAGGAAACTAAGAATGTTGTGGAAGAAGAAAAAAAACTATCAATTCCGAAATCGAGAAATGTAATATTATTAGCATTATTTTTTCTGGGAAAGAAATAGCTGTAAAATGTTTATTGAGCTGACCATTATAGATGGTAAAATTCAATAAACTTTATCAATTATGACAAACTAAACACAGTATTATCTAGTTTGTGGTTCAACTCTCAAAAACATTAATAACTTGGATAAGTAAATAATGTTTTTGTGATATCGGTGTCTAAATTCAATGAGTATTGAACACTGATAATTTAGAGTTTAAATATGGTTTATCCAGCTTACACACTTGGATAAACGTTTTTAAGCTAATACTGTATATTGGATATAAAAAAGAAAACTGGAAAATGGCAGGCTAGAACCGTAGCTGATAAAATAGCGGTACAGCAAGTAAAGTGCCGAATTCAGACCAATTTTAAAAACCATTTGGGATTGGTTGCGGATTTTCCTAAAAAGTGGAAGATCGGGAAAGTCAAATTTTATATTATATAACATATATATCATTTATACATATAATAATTCAAAATATGATAAAAAATTTTTAAAATTTTTAGGTAATAGTAACAATGGAAATACTGCCCGCAGAGCTTTTGCTAACTGTAAATCAACTGCCGAGATATTGATGAAACTCTTATATATTATTTTTATATTATTTTAGTCACTTTATCATCC